GGGAGGGAGAGAGGGAGGGAGGGAGACTGAGCAAGCCATGAGTGAGCACCCAGTAAGCAGCACTCTTCCATGGCTCCTGCTTTAGTTCCTGCCTCCAGGGTCCTGTCTGCATTTCCTGACCTGACTTCCCTCTGCAATGGAGTACCACCTGAGAGTAGCAAACTGAAATAAACCCTTTCTTTCCTAAGTGTTTTTGTCCATGTCATTTTATCACAGAAACAGAAACTCCAAGACACTGTTTTTGTCTGAAACAGTCTCTCCTACAAGTGACCTTTAACAAAAGAAAATATAGCATATCTACCAGCTATGTTCATGGAAAAGGAAAAATGTCTAGTACTGACAAATATTTAGTGAATACCATCAAAACGTGAAGCAGCCAGGCAGCGTCTGCCTGGGCCTGCAGAACCGAGGCTGCACTTGTGTGGAAGCTCCCACCAAGGGGCAGTCACTGAATTTACCACAGGAACACCACCAGCTGAGGGGCTGGGGAGAGGCACAGAGGGGACTGTTTCTGCACACCTGAGTGACAACAGAGTTGGCTGAGGAGACTGGCATGACAGCCCCGGGGGATAATGAGGTCTGTGATCACCCCTATATGCGTAGGGGACTAAACATAGCTCCACTGGGACACCTAACACATAGGCTCTGACCCAGCCCTCCTTCCTCAGGCCGCCCCAAGGGCAGCTGTGTTACAGGCTCTCTTTGTATCTTCCCCAGCCTGTCAGCGGTCACCTGGAATGGCTTCGTGAGCGGTTAAGACCACACTGATGATGGGTTTCTTGGCTCCCGAAAGCTGCCCTGCCTCCTTTCCTGAGATCTTCTGCACTTTCTCTGTTTTCTGAGCCCGAGGTCTTTTTGGAGCCTTTTCTCGGTCATCTTCTTTGTACTGCTTTTCTAGCTCAAGGTCTGACTCGTTGTTACCTAGGGAGCAAATATCAAGATGAGTAAGCTAACCCTCCACGCCAGTGGAGGAGGAGATAGGTAGGACTCTTACTGCATCCTCATGCCCACCCCACCCCTGCCTCTCTCTTCCTGGCCCGTAATGCCAGGCAGGACATTGTGCTAGCGCATGTACCATTGCTGGCTCTTCACAAACTCAATACAAAGCATACTCATTGTATCCAGGTCACAACCAGGTACCAGGAATGCACTGCTGGACAAAGCTGCATAGACATTTGGCTCATTTTCATGAAGCATCATTAATATCAGCACTGCAGATAGAATGACCTGTGATTCGCAGTCCAAGAAAGTCTTTCTCTATACCAGCTTACAGTTCCCAGGCATTTGCTCTATGCCAGGCATGGAGGACGCAGGACAAGAACACGCCAAGCCCTCAAGGGCCCTCTTCTGCAGAACGGACAGAGACAACAGGTGTGATCAAGAGCAGTCTCTGCTCTGTGTTGCATGGAACGAGAGTAAAGAACAGCTTGGAGAGGCTGGAAAGGCTTTGTGGAGATCTGAGCTATGGCTGAGTGAAAAAGCAAGGGTTGATGATGCATAGGATGGGAAAGACAGAGGACCAGTCATGAGGAAGGAGCTGTGTGGTTCAGGAATGAGTGTGATTAAAAATGGCAGCGCTCCAGTCTAACAAAGGATGACAAAGACACAGGATACATACTTGGCTGAGCATTGTGGTATCCGCAACTTCATAAGAAAGGAGAAGGTGACCAAAACAGGTGTCAAGAGTATGAGGTTAAGTCTAGGAGATGGTGAACACTAGGAAAACTTCCAGTCTGCTTTGTGAGGACATGGAGCCCAGTCAACCCTGCATTAGGTAAGTAAGACGTAGACTGTGCCTGGCCCTGCTGGGGACTCCTGGGAGGTCGGGTGATTATCACATCTTATGATGGCTCAAAGGAAGACGGTAGGTCCAGGTTTTTCCAGGAGCTGTTGTTTCTCAAGGCTGGCTGCTATCTGGCCTTTCTTAAGATAATGGGGAAGCCAAGCAAAAGGCAACGGTGAGACACTGAAGTCACCTAACCTAAGGAACAGGCGAGCTGGCTTAAAGCCTTACATGTAAGTCATGCTGTGGAGAAGGACACAATCGGGCTCACAAACCATTCCAATGCATGGCAGAGCAAATGCATCGGTCACAGACATACAACAGCAGCCATGACAGGTGCAACCTCGGCATTAGCCTAAGGAGCAGGGATAGCATCCACAAATCAGTGAAGAACAAAGGAGCAAGCGACTGGACAGAGGTCACAAGTGAGGCGAGGCAGGGCAGGAGGGAGGGAGAGCTGTGTCAGAGTCACCAAGTCTGAAAAGACCCACTGAGTGCGATTCCACACACCCCTGGATGAGACGAGAGAGTGTAGGCTACAGACAAGGGAATGCAGCACAGGTGAGCAGACCACCAGCAGGTGTGAGGGCAGGTTTGGGAAACTGCAGGAGCACAAGGGGTTATCAGGGAAGTGAGAGTGAAACCAAGAAACAATGAGGCAGGCAGGGGTGGGGGTGGGGCACACAGGGAGACAGCCAGAAACCCAACTTCAGTGCTTCCTACATCTCAAGTCAGCTCCAGCCAGACCAACACAATGCACCAGTAAATGTACAACAGATAACCTGGGGAGGGAGTTCTTGGCAAGCCCAAGCTGGCTGAGGTGAGGCTAAGGGAACAGAATGATTAAACCAAGCATTCACGCCGTAAACTAAGGCAGTGCTTGCCAAGTTCCCGGATCATCTGCAGACCTGACGAGAACAGTCTCAGGTTAGCCTTGAACAGGTTAGTGTTAGTATTACCCATGCTAACATCAAACAACACAGAACACTGACAGGAGGCATCATCATCGTGAATCAGAACCCCATGCCGTCCTCCAAGGCCCCAAGTCAAGGACCAACACTGCACGAATACTGTCAGATCCCGAAAGCCACACGACAGTCACAGCACCTGGTCTCCAAGGCTGCTGGCAGAGCCCACACGCTATGAAGCTTGCTATGCACCACTCCTCACGGCAATTTTTGCCTTGTTTTATTTTTTAGTGGCTGTTAACAAAAACATTTCCAAAGGCCTACAAATTGTCTGAGTGACAGAAGTCTTCTCGTCACCTAGATATTGGGTGATACGTGCACATAAATGCTACAGCAGGATATTTCAGATGCTATGAAAAGGAAGAACAACATTTAATGGATTTTTTTTTTGCTTGGAAATGATATCTCGCTCTATAACAGAGTTCACCATGGGATACAATTCAATATGTGGGTGATACGCCAAGAATAGATATGTTGACATAAAAAACAAAGGACCTGAGAATCTGAGTTTACCATAAGCTTATCATGGCTAACAATATAAAGCAACTGCCAAGAAAACAAGGGCACACACTGTCAGCCAGGCTAAGAGATGAGGAGGTCACACAAGCTGCAGGGATGAACGGGAGCAAGCTCTGCTGTGGGCACCAGGTGTACACAGTGCAGAAATGAGTGCAAGCAGCTGTGGCTGGCAGTGGGCAAAGGTTCGGAAGCCACATCAGATTAGGAATGGAGGGACCTGGCTTAGGTAGCGAAGACACGACGGAACGCCTCTCGCCTTAACTACTGCAGTCTCTGTGACTCCCTTCTTCTGGCTGCTATGTAGTCAAGCCGTTGGTATGCATATGGCTTGGTTATTTTCCCCACGGTTTTGGGGGGTAAAAATTGATAGACGAAGCTTAAGTGGGGAGAAGTCTACTTTGGCTGATGGTTCAGTGGGAACACTCCACCATAGCACAAAAGGTACGGTGGGCGATCGGGCTAGTTCCAGTGCACGGCAATAGGAGTGTGAGGTAGTTGGTCATATGACTGACAGTCAGGAAGCAGAGAGCTCGGACCAAGAGCTGTAACCATCAAAGGTCACCACCCACCAGTGTCTCACCTCTGCCAGCCACGCCTCCACTCCCAGGGTCCCACAGCTACACACCCTCAACTCCACCCTCGGTAGCAAGGTCACCTTCTTTTGTCGGAACTGAGAATACACAGCAGCACTCCAAGTCTGAGTGCCAGGGCTACAGGTCCTGGGCTTGGCCAGTGGCATGAAAACAGAAGGGACCATGGGGGAAGCAAGAGATTTAAAGGACGAGCAGGGGGGGACATAAGAGAATAATGGGAGAGAATGATAGAGACAATATGTTGCATGTTTTTCCCGTGTCTTTTGTATGTAGAAGAGATAGAGACAGAGACAGAGACAGAGACAGAGATAGAGATAGATTAGGGGACTAGTAAGAGGAAGGAAGAAAATATGAGCAAGGTACTGTGTGTGCGTACGTGTGTGTTTGTGTGCATGAAAATGCCACAATGAAATCCACAAGTATATGTGCTGACCCACAAAATTAATAGGAAGAAAACCTAAAGGGCAGAGTAAGAGTGAATTGTACACGCTCTTCAGCGCTCCTGGGTGGTCACCGCGTTCCAGCAGACCCTTCAGCAGAGCTATTAGTCCCTCTCCACATGCAAATGCCCTACACCCAACTTAAGTAGTCACTGTGGCACAGCCAGCACACAGTCACTTTGCAACTACCCCAAAGCACCACCCCTGAGTCTCCTCAGTCTCCAGGAAGCAGATCAAGAGCCTGGAGTAGCCACACTCTGCCGAAGAGCTTCGGAACCTTAATACGAGGCTTTCCCATAGTTTGGGACACAGCGGGCCAGGCAGTACCCTGAGCATCCTGGGAAATGGTTCTTGGGGACGATCACTGTATATCCCTTGAGGACACTGGAATTAATAAGGCCATGCAGAGAACAGCCAGCACTCTTGCTCCAAGGCAAGTGCCTGGGGCACTTGGAGAGTAGTGAGGAATCCGGATTAAGACAAAAGGATGACGTGAGGGCAGGCATGGAGAGCCAGATGTTACCAGACACACAGCCCCAAGTGTATGGGAATGCCCAGCTCTCCACCATGTGCCTTGTGTGCCTGCTCCTTGCATCCCTGCACCCAGCTCAGCTGCTGGATACCTGTTTACATTCCCCCCACTTAGTGAGTCTTTGTGGAAAGCCATCAGGGATAGGAATAAAGAGAAGGCATTTTGATAGCAGGGTTGGTATTTTTGGTTTTTTTTGGCAGCCTTCTGTTCTCTGCATTTGAACAACACAATCCTCTTTTCATTTGTTATGGCTGGAATGTAAGATGAGCTTGAACAATAGGTCTCCAGCAGGTGGAGCTGTTTGGGGAGGCTGTGGCAGCTTCAGGACAGTGGCCTAACTAGCAGACGGAGATCTCTGTGGGCAGACCCTGAAGGTGGCATGGGCTTTTGACTCCAGCCTGAGTGCCCTGCTAACTGACTCTCACGCGCCCAGTATTCCTGAGAGAACACCATGCCTTTCCTGCCGCGCCAGGTTGTATGCTCTGAAACCTTGAGCCAAATAAACCTCTCTTCCTTAGGCTGCTTCTGTCAGCAACGAGGAAAACAACCAAGATGTCTCTTGACCTGGTTGTTCATGAATTTCCCAGGACCCTCACTTCACCCATCTCTGTGGTTTCCAAAGTTGCCTTTTCCTCACTGAAGGTCTTCTGGACCTAAGTTGGCCTAAGTTGACCTAAGTTGGGGAGGCTGTGGGAGCTTCAGGACAGTAGCCTGCTGGCAAGGTGCTTCTTCAAGCACCTAGCCGTTCCCGTCTCCAGCTTACAGACTTCAAGGCCTTTTGATGGGGTGTTTTAAATACTCTCTTCCTTCCTCTGAGTTACTGACTTTGGAGACTTTCCTGCCTTCTCCCCCAACTAATGCCTATATTCTCTCTAGCTTCCTTTGCTTTGGAAAGTAGCTCTGTGATGGATCTGCTTCTTTGGTTTGGATTTAGTCCTACTGTGTGCACACGGCCAATGGGCCAGCATGCATAGCCAATGCTCTGCTCAGAGTGGAGGAAAGTCAACAGGCAAATGCCGCACTGTGTCTCCAGTAAGGATCTTACATGGCAGGGGAAGACTGACAATGGGTGTGGACACAAGAAGT